CATTATTACTGATACCCAATAAAGATCTTTATAGTCCAGAGCTAAATGCAATTTTATAACTCAATAAGTACTATCAATTGGCAGCAACCGAGAAAACTTTCATTTCCTCTTTCACTGATGCTGACTCCCACATCTAAATAAAGGTCAGTCCTAATTACTCAGTAATTCCTTTTTTTTAATGTACTTTAAAAAACAGATCTCTGAAGTGTATTTCCAAAGGTGTTCTAAGATTCACTTTAAGAGAGGGATATCATATGCAGCTTTGGCCTGAACCTTTTCTAGAAAGAACATCTCACACTAGTTTCCATGGAATGCCCTGTAGGACAAAGTGTAAAGTATTTTATCTTAAGCCAGAGGAATTCCCAAAAGCCAAAAACAAACTTCAGACATATTATATTTTGTCTCTTCTCAAAAAAGAATTGGAACTAAGTGGAAGTTTCACATGCAATGCCATAAACTCCAAAAGGCCTTGAAGTTTATTTCATTTATGGCACTAGAATATTCCATGAGAGGAGGCCCTTGACTTTTTGTTCATTGCAGATTGTCCAGCACCTAACATAGTGCCTACAGTTTAATATTTGTTTAATAACTACTTGTTGAGTAAATGAACAAACTCATTTCATTTCACAGATGAAGAAATTGGAAGCCAAGTAGTCAAATGACCTAACCAAAGTCATACAATAACTCTGAAGTTGTCCTGGACTAGAACTTAGTCTACATCCCTCATTTGGTATCATTTCCACTGGTTGCAACATAAGCAAATGCAGGAGTTGGGTAGGGAGAGAAATGAATGAAAAGTGAAAATAAAATAAGAAGCCTGGAGACTTTTGTCAAACACCTCATCAGAAGCCAAAAATAAAATTATAAATAGCATTGGGAAGAGAGTACTACAATACATTTTTTTAATTAAAAACTCTCTCAAGGGCAAACAAACAAACAAACAAAACTCCACCTGTCTGATTGATGGCCAAAATAGCAATTACAGGAGTTTAAAAGAAAATTAGTTTTTAATAATAGAAAAATGGCCCACGAAAGGAAAAGGAAGCCCACAAACATAGCAGGTTAACTATACAACTGAAAACTAAACCAAATATAATTTGAGAAATACTTTGAAAAGGACTCCAAAGGCAACAACACACTTTTTACAGCACACTAAAAAAAAAAAAAAAAAAAAAAAAAAGGGCTTAAGTATCTGCATAACAATTTAATGATCAGGGTCTAAAAAAGGTACACTCATCAAAAGAACAGATAGCAAATTGGGGAAATGAATCACTTTTCTTAGTCTTCATGAGGGAAAAAATGCTAGAAGGGAGGTTCTTGCATCATAAATATCTTTTGAAACCTACAACTCAGGCCCACTGTATCAGATAGTGGCAATGTCCATGAGTGAGCAGGAAACAGGCAAAGAGGTTTCAATGTATGTAAAATATATATTTATGCAGCTGAAGATAAAAACTATTCTTTTTTTTAAATATTTTATTTATTTCTAGGAGAGAGAGAGAGAGACAGCGTGAGCAGGGGAGGGTCAGAGAGAGAGGGAGTCACAGACTGAAACGGGCTCCAGGCTCTGAGCTGGCAGTCAGCACAGAGCCTGACGCGGGGCTCGAACCCACGAACCGCGAGATCATGACGTAAGCTAAAGTCGGACGCTTAACTGACTAAGCCACCCAGGCGCCCCAGATAAAAACTATTCTTGAGTCTGTATCAGGACACCACTCTAACCCAGAGAAAGGACAGAGAAATTCCCTGAAGGATATTGCCTCAACATGACGCCGCACCCAAGAATTCTACTAAAATACTGCTAAAGAGCATCAGGTAGAAGAAAACTTGCCTATTTCTATTTAAAACTGTGGTTTATCCATGCTGGAAAAAAACATATTTTTACTACTGGTTTTAAGAATAATAAAATAGAACTGGACTAGAAAAAGAAAGGGACTCATGCTCAAGGAGACTATGCAAACTAATATAGACTATCAAGGCAAAGTTTATGCTCTTCAGAGTTGTACCTAACCTAGGAATTCTGCAATCTCTCTGGACAGTCGATTCCAGTATGTGGATGTGGCTACCATTTTACTAAGCACTTAATCATGTACCAAGCATTGTACTAATCACTTTATAATCCATTATCTCATTTAAACTTCACAATAATATCAACATATAAGTATTATTTTCCCCACTTTACAGATAAATAGATTGAGGTTTAGAAAGGTTAATAATTTGTCCTTGTCACATCACAGATAAGATTCTGGATGTGAATCATGGCTGATCAGACTTCTATATCAAGGTTTTATCCAACCTGCCCTCAGCAGGAGTTTTCCAAAGCAGCGCCAGGTCTCCCACAGCAGACCTACACAAACTTTGATAACATCATGCAGCCTACTCCCATGCTTTCCTGCAGATCACCCCATTCAATCTGCATTGGCTGAAGTCCATCTGGAGTGGTGCCACAAGCATGACAGTATGCAAGCAGCAACATGGACCAATGCCACTCCAAAGTGATTCCTGCCTCACGGAGAGGTGAAGATAACCACTCAGATAATCACTCATACCGGTTTGATGGTAGCCCCAGCAGTGGGCTGGGGACAAACATCTGGTCTGACTACAGGACCCATGCACCAATGAAAATCTCCCAAGGAACAATACAGTGAGAACACCCTGAAGTTTGATGCAATCAAAGTTCTGGAAAGCACCTGGTCTAACCCAACTCAAGCCCAAGATGGCCCCAGATTGGCCCATTAACAACACTGGAACCAAACACGACCCATAACAGGCAAAGGTAGCTGTTGCAGACGACTGGACTGAAGGCAAATGCAGCTCAGTCACAACAGTAACATACATAGAAGACATCCCTGAAATGCTAGGTTCTGGTGAACAGAGGACATTGCACTATGGGGCATCACAGGACTTCTTCTCCATAAGGCCACTACTTGAAAAAGCAGGAGATGTAGTGACTTTCCTAACACATAAATCAGACACACAGAGCTAGACAAAATAAAGAGACAGAGGAATATGTTTCAAATGAAAGAACAGGACAAAAAAATCACAGCAAAAAAGCTAAAGGAAACAGAGATAAGTAATATGCCTGATAGAGAATTTAAAGTAATGGTCATAAAGATACTCACTGGACTTGAGAAGAGTGGAGGACCTCAGTGAGACCCTTAACAAAGAGAAAGAAAATGTAATAAAGAACCAATCAGAGATGAAGAACTGAAGCTGAAATTAAAAATACACTAAAGGGAGATGCCTGGGTGGCTCAGCCAATTAAGCCTCGGACTTCGGCTCAGGTCATGATCTCATGGTTTGTGGGTTCAAGCCCCGTGTCGGGCTCTGAGCTGACTGCCAGCTCAAAGTCTGGAGCCTGTTTCAGATTCTGTGTCTTCCTCTCTCTCTGACCCTCCCCTGCTCACGCTGTCTATCTCAGAAATAAATAAAACATTTAAAAAAATTTTAATACACTAAAGGGAGTAAATAGTAGACTAGAGGCAGAAGAACAATTTTAGTATATGTGCTGCCAAAGCGAGCACAGAGGAAGCAGAAAAACAAATCAGAAACCTAGAGAACAGAGAATGGAAAGCAGTCAAGGTAAATGGGAGAAAGAAAAATAATTTTTAAAAAAGGAGAGAGAAAATAGATTAAGGGAACTCAACAACACCATCAAATGTAACAACATTCACATTATAGGAATCCCAGAAGGAGAAGAGAGAGAAAGGGGAGTGGCAGAAAAAATATTTGAAGACATAATAGGGGAGTGGCAGAAAAAATATCTGAAGACATAATAGCTAAAAACTTCTCAGATTTGGGAAAGAAAAAGAAATCCAGATTCAGGAAGCACAGAGGGCCACCAACAAAATCAACCCAAGGAAGCTCTCATCAAGACTCAGAGTAATTAAAATGGCAAAAAAGTAGTGAAGAAGAGAAAATTTTAAAAGCAGCAAGAGAGAAGAAACAGTTACAAATACATGAAACCCCATAAGGCTGTCAGATGATTTTTCAGTAGAAACTTTGCAGGCCAGAGAGAAGTGGTATGATATATTCAAAGTACTGAAAGAAAACCTGCAATGAAGAATGCTTTCTCCAATAAGACTATCTATCATTCAGAATAGAAAGAGAGATAAAAAAAATTTCTCAGACAGGAGCTCCTGGGTAGCTCAGTTGGTTAAGCATCAAATTCTTGACCCCAGCTCAGGCCTTGATCTCATGGTTGTGAGCTCAAACCCCATGTTGGGCTCCACACTGGGCATGAAGCCTACTTTAAAAAAAATTAAAGAGTTTCACAGCCAAACAAAAAGTTCAAGGAATTTATCACCATTAAACTAGCCTTACAAGAAATGTTAAAAGGAATTCTTTGAGTGAAAAGGAAAGATCACAAGCAGGAGCACAAAAAGTAGAAACCACAAAAGCAGCAAAATTAAATATATCTATTAGGTATATCTATGTCCCTTGACCCAGTCAAGGAATTCATAAAATGAAAGGATGTAAAGTATGGCATTATAAACATAAAACATGGGGAGAGAGAAGTAAAAATGTAGTGCTTTTAAAATAGGTTCAAATGTAAGTGCCCATCAACATAATATAGGCTGTTATATGCACAAGATGTTACATATAAACTTAAAGGTAACCACAAATAAAAAAAAAAAGATAAAGATATGCAAAAATATTTTAAAAAGTAACCCAAGTATATCACTAAAGAAACCCAGCAAACCATTAGAGAAAAAAGTAAGACAAGAAAGAAATGAAGAACTACAAAAACAACCATTAAAAAGTAACAAAATGGCAATAAGTACATATCTATAAATAATTACTTTGAATATAAATGTACTAAATCCTCCATTCAAGAGACATGGAGTGATGGAATGGATAAAAAAAGAAAGACCCATCTATATACTGCCTACAAGAGATTAATTTCAAACCTAAAGACACATGCAGATTGGCACTCAGCAGAAGCCACTGTGCAGACAGGACTTTGTTCACTCCCACACCTCACTCCCTTTCCTGAAACCATGTTTGACAAATCCAATATGGCTGAGATTGAGATATTCAAAAAGTTGAAACTGAAGAAGACAGAAACACAAGAGAAAAATCCACTGGCTTCAAAAGAAACAACTGAACGGTAAAAGCAAATAGGCAAATCATAATGAGCCATGTGCAGCCAATATGCACTGTGCATTCCACAAGCATTGACTTCTTATTTTACTTTTTTTTAGCTGCTTAACTTTGTAAGATGTAAAGGGGTTGGATCAAGTTTAAATGACTGTGCTATCCCTTTTCACATCAAAGAATCAAGAAATATTGACAACAAAGGCCACGCCTGCCTCTCCCTTCTGCTTGTCTGGCTGGCAGGAAAGGGAAAGAACTTCCATGATAGTGAAGGAAAAAGCTGGGTGGCACAACAGTGAAATCTAGAGTAAAAACCAAGCCAGCCCAAGGTGACCTGCAAGCTGTAATCTGCTGTTTAATCGCAGAGCCATTTTTCTGTTCAAATGATTTTAATTATTGGAATACACAATTTTTTGAATGTACAAATAAAAAAATTTAAAACCTGAAAAAAAGACACATGCAGATTAAAGTGAAGGGATGGAAAAAGCACTTATCATGCAAATGGAAGTGTATAGAAAGCCAATGTAGCAAAATAGACTAAAACAAAGACTATAACAAGAGACAAAGAAGAACACTACATAACCATAAAGGGAACAATCCAACAAGAAGATATAACAATTGCAAATATTTATGCACCCAACACAGAGTCACCCAAATACATAAAGCAATTTTTAACAAACATAAAGGAAATAATTGATAGACATATGATAATAGTAGGGGACTTAACACTCCCCTTTCATCAATGGATAGATCACTCAAACAGAAAATCAACAAGGAAAGAGTGACTTTGAGTGACAAATTCAACCAGATGAATCTAACAAATATATTGAGAACGTTCCATCCTAAAACAGTGGAATACACATTCTTTTCAATGTGCACATGGAACATTTTCTAGAATAGATCAATGTTAGTCCAAAAAACAAGTCTCAACAAACTCAAAAAGACTAAAGTCATACCATGCATCTTTTCCAATCTCAATGCTATGAAACAAGAGATCAACCACAAGAAAAAATCTGGAAAGAACACAAATACATGGAGGTTAAATAACATGTTACTAAACAATGAATAGGTTAACCATGAAATCAAAGAGCAACTCAAAAAATACATGGAGACAAATGAAAACTCAAAAGTCCAAAATCTTTGGAATGTATCCAAAGTTGTCCTAGAAGGGAAGTTTATAGCAATACAAGCCTACCTCAAGAAGCAAGAAAAATCTCAAAGAAACTTATACCTAAATAACCCAAACCTTACACCTAAATTTAGGATCCACAAAAAGAAGAATAAACAAAACCCAAAAATAGTAGAAGGAAAGAAATAATAAAAATTAGAGCAGAAATAAATGAAATAGGAACTAAAAAACAGTAGAAGAGGTCAATAAACCAGGAGCTGATTCTTTGGGGGAAAAAAATCAACAAAACTGACTGGATAAAATTGGGGGAAAAATCAACAAAATTGATTTTTAGCCAGATTCATAAAAAAAAAAAAAACCACAAAGAAGGAAAGAAGACTCAAATAAACAAAATCTGAAATGAATGAAGAAAAATAACAACTGACACCACAGGAATAAAAAGGACTTTCAGAGGATATTATAAAAAACTATATGCCAACAAATTTGACAACCTAGAAGAAATGAGCAAATTCCTAGAAATATATAGACTCCCAAAACTGAATCAGGAGGAATAGAAAATTTGAACAAAGTTATTACCAGCAATGACATTGAATCAGTAATCAAAAAACCCAACAAATAAATGTCCAGGATCAGATGGTTACACAGATGAATTCTACCAAACATTTAAAGGAGAGTTAATACCTATTCTTATCAAACTATTTTTAAAAGAACTATTCCAAATTCATTTTATGAGGCCAGCATTACCCTGATACCAAAACCAGATAACGACACCACTAAAAAGAGGACTATAGGCCAATATCTCTGATGAACACAGATGCACAAATTCTCAACAAAATACTAGCAAACTGAAACCAACAATACATTAAAAAAAAAAATGATTCACCACAATCAAGTGGGAATTATTCCTGGATTGCAAGGTGGTTCATTATTTGCAAATCAATCAATATGATACATCAAATCAACAAGAAAAAGGAGAAGGGCTCCTGAGTGGCTCAGTCGTTTAAGCATCTGACTTTAGCTCAGGTCATGAACTCGTGACTCATGAGTTCAAGCTCCACATTGGCCTCTTGGGCTCTGTGCTGACAGCTCGGAGCCTGGAGCCTGCTTCAGATTCTGTGGCTCCCTCTCTCTCTGCCCCTCTCCTGCTCATGCTCTGTCTCTGTCTCTTTCAAAAATAAATAAAGATTAAAACATTTTTTAAAAGGATAAAAACCATGCATTCATTTCTTTTTTTTTTTTTTAATTTTTTTTAAATGTTTTATTTATTTCTAGGAGAGAGAGAGAGACAGCGTGAGCAGGGGAGGATCAGAGAGAGAGGGAGTCACAGACTGAAACAGGCTCCAGGCTCTGAGCCGGCAGTCAGCACAGAGCCCGACGCGGGGCTCGAACCCACGAACCGCGAGATCATGACCTAAGCGAAAGTCGGACGCTTAACCGACTAAGCCACCCAGGCGCCCCGCATTCATTTCAAAAGATGGAGAAAAAGCATTTGACAAAGTACAACATCCATTTATGATAAAAATCCTCAACAAAGTATGTTTTGAAGGAACACACCTCAACATTATAAAGTCCATTTATGAAAAACCCACAGCTAACATTATACTCAATCATGAAAAACTGAAAGCTTTTCCCCTAATATCTGGAACAACACAAGGATGTCTTCTTTTGCCACTTTTATTAAACATAGTACTGGAAGTCCTAGCCTCAGCATTTAGACAACAAGAAGAAAAGGCATCCAAATTGGTAAGGAAGAAGTAGAACTTTCGCTATTTGTGATGACATGATATTGTATATAGAAAACCATAAAGACTCCACCAAAAAAAACTATTACAACTAATAAATTAATTCAGTAAAGTCTCAGGATACAAAATCTGTATACAAAAATCTGTTACATTTCTATACAATAATAATGAAGCAGTAGAAAGAGAAATTAAGAAAACAATCGCACCAAAATAATAAAATATCTAGGAGTAAACAACCAAGGAGGTGAAAGACTGTATTCTGAAAACTATAAAACATGGATGAAATAAATTGAGGAAGACATAAATAAATGGAAAGACATTCCAAGCTCATAGCTTGAAAGAAAAAATACTGTTAAAATGTCTATAGCACCCAAAGCAATCTACCCATTTAATGCAACCCCTATCAAAATATCAACAGCATTTGTCACAAAATTACAACAAATAATCCTAAAATTTGTATGGAATCACTAAAGACCCCAAATAGCCTGGACTTCAAGATATACTACAACTATAGTAATCAAAACAGTATGGTGCTAACACAAAAATAGGCACATAGGTCAACAGAAGAGAATAGAGAGCCCAGAAATAAGCCCATTATTATATGGTCAATCAATCTATAACAAAGGAGGCAAGAATATGCAATAGGAAAAAGAGAATCTCCTCAACAAATGGTGCTAGGAAAACTGGACAGCAACATGCAAAAGAATGAAACTGGACCACTTTCTAACACCTTATACAAAAAATAAATTCAAGGGACACCTGGGTGGCTCAGCTGGTTAAACACCGACTTCGGCTCAGGTCATGATCTCATGGTTTGTGGGTTCGAGCCCCGCATCGGGCTCTGTGCTGACAGCCAGCTCAGAGCCTGGAGCCTGTTTCAGATTCTGTGTCTCCCTCTCTCTCTGACCCTTCCCTGCTTACGCTGTCTCTCTCTCTCTCTCTCAGAAATAAATAAAAAAACATTAAAAATTTTTTTAAAGCAAGGGAATCAAGAGCAAAAATAAACGATTGGGACCTCATCAAGATTAAAAGCTTCTGCACAGCCAAGGAAACAACCCACAAAATTAATAGGCAACCAATGGAATGGGAAATGACATATCAGATAAAGGGTTAATATCCAGAATCTATAAGGAACTCACCAAAATCCACACCCGAAAAACAAACAACCAGTGAAGAAATGGGCAGAAGATATGAACAGACACTTCTCCAAAGAGGACATCCAGATGGCCAACAGACACATGAAACGATGCTCAGCATCCCTCCTCATCAGAGAAATGCAAACCAAAACCACACTGAGATACCACCTCACGCCAGTCAGAGTGGCTAAAATGAGCAAATCAGAGAACTCTAGATGCTGGCGAGGATGTGGAGAAATGGGC